TGAGAGATTTATCCACCTTTTACCCAATGTAAAATGTTCTATTGCGCATATAAACAGCAACGACATAATCTGTCCTGCAACATATAAAAACCAAACTGTATGAAGGCAAACACAAATGAAGGCTTCTATATCTGTACCGTTTAGTTTCTTTATTGTTATAAAATAAGAAATTGCAGCCATTATATTAAGCAACATGGATATAAAAAACAAACAGGAAAGGATGCTAATCAGGTATACTTGTATCTGCTCGATAATTTTCCATTCGCCTTCGTAACTGCTAATTATGCAATGAAGTGAAATCTTGCTCCTCTTCAGAATGCTAAACTGAGCAGCAACGTAAATTGATATGAAAGCGCAGGCAACCGCTGCTGGTAACGCATAATCGTTGTACATGTGAATTACACGTAAAACATATAAATTCGTGTCGTACAATCTGATTATGAAAAGTAATGCCACTGTCCATAGAAATAGTTCGATAGCACTGCTGTATATTTCGAATAATGTAGAACGACAGCCGTGTTTCCTCGTGTTTCTTTCATTAGACATGCAATTGCATCGTACACAGAAATCCAATCCGTATACTTTAGCAGAATCGAGAATTGGAGCTAAAACATATTCTAAACATATCAGCTCCTGTGTGAATGACATATTTTATGTAATGGCCTTAATTCGTTGTTTAAATTAATTAATATAACTCGGTTTTGAAAAGAAAGACTCGATATAAGTCTTCTGAATATCGTATAAATTGTACAGTACTGTACATCTCTATTACATGGACTGTATTGGTTCAGTTTATCAAATATCTACGCTAACGATTTTACTAAAAATAATTTTATACTAATTGAATTATGCAAGTCTGTTTGCACATTAATGTGACCTAGTTTAAAGCTAGTCTATTAAAATATTATTGGATTTCAATATCCGTTATATAAATCACCATAGTGAGTAAAAGTTCGATTAAGTTCCATTAAATTTATGTCACGTCTATGAAAGTTATTTTAATGGACACAAGCTTTATGGCTAAAATAGAAAGTTAGGTAATATTTTATTTACTTGACTAATTGCTTTTCCTATTATTCTTCCAAGCACATCGGGTTGTAGATTACTTACCAACTACACTGGGGAGGATTGAGTAAAGTATAGACGTTTTATTATTAGCTTTACTGTAATATTTTTAACATCGCAAGAAAGTAGTTGTGTTTTGTTTACAAATTTTAAACTTTGAAATTACGAACAAATTATGAACAACACGCAGGAACAACGAGACTCCTGATGCGTACTTAAATTGCATTTCATTATTGGAATTGATACCAATGTTAAATTATCTGTACAATAACCGATTCCCACTAGTACCATCAGCTGTAATTGCATCAGCATATACTTCTGTGCTTTCAATTTAAATGATTTTTCTAATTAAAATTTTTGCCAAACATCTTTAAAGAAATTTCTTGAATTTTGTTATTAATTTCGATTTATTTTCATTAATTGAGTTCCTGTAAATCAGTGGTGTCCAACCTTTTTGTTTCTCTGCGCCGCATTGGAAGAAGTCAAGGAGTTTTGGGCCAGAAGTATATATAATATATACTTGTGGCCCAAATAATTTTTGGGATTTTTCGAAATTTCTCTGCGGGGGGGAGCATTAAGGCTTAATCAGAAGAACGGCTTCTACTGTACTATTTTAGATGCGATTTTTTGTTTACAACTACGTGTAGTCTTTATTGAGTACTTAGGTGTATTAAGTAGACAACATTTTAGACATTGTTATAAATATTTTTATATATTTTGATTTTTTAATCAAATGTTCGAACCGTTTTAAATTCGAATTTGTTATTGCATATTGGTTGGATTATAGAACGATTGTATACGTTTGAGAAATTTGATCAAATTGAAAACAGTTCGTTTGATTCTCAGCGGTAGGTGTTATATAACAATTATTATGGTTGTTGAAATACTGAATATAAATGGGGTTTGCTTGCAAAATCTGTGTTGGCGAAGTCGCGGGTAACAGCTAGTTCATTATAAAAGAGACAAACGAAAATTTATTTTAAAAACACAAATACTTTTTTCTTTGGGTCTCTAATTAATAAAAAGCGACGAAACACCATTTTAAAGTGCATTTTTATTCAACTAATATATTTATAAATAATATGTAGCCCAAAAAGTAGACAAAGCGCCAAATAATATTTTTTACATCAAACAAAAAAGTAGCCACATTTGGCGCAATGTAGCCAAATTTTGCAACGTTGGAAGAAATACTAAATAAAGCTGAAGTTGTGACTCAAAGGATTATAGACCTAAATGCGGAGAAAGGAGAAAAGATAAAGAAGTGAGGAAAGTTGGAAAATTAAGAGTCAATATTTGCATAACAGAAGGTCTATTTAACCTTTCTTACTGCTTTTTATCTTTTGTCGTTTCTCTCCTTTTCCCAAATTTGGGTGTATAATCCTTTGAATCACAACTCCAGCTTTATTTAGTAATTCTTCCTCATTCAAATCTTTAAACATTTGAAAATATATTTTATTTCCACTAAAAAATAAAATATGAATAAAGATTTACGGCTTTGTGAAACTTCTTTTTTGAGTTTAAGTCGTTGAAATAAATAAAAAATTCTAAAATTAAAACATTTGTAGGTTTTGTTTACAAGTTTAATGAGCCGCATTGGAACTTGCCTTTGGCTGCATGCGGCCGACGGGCCGCGGGATAAACACTCCTGCTCTAAATAAAAATAATAAGCAAAGAAAAAACAGCATTCTGCTCTTCTTATAGTCTCGCATGACATCAAGGAAATAAAACAAGATGAACACAGGTGTTTGAGGCAAAATACATATTGTGGGCGCTATGGCAAATTAAGTGATTACGATTCAATAACGTGGCAAACGATAAAAACACAGTATAGCAGTACCTTACACCAGAGTAGAATTTCGCTTTTTCATACCTACTTTACATGTTTGTATTAATCAATAGGCCACTTTTTCCTGGGTTGTAAATCGAATAATTCACAAAGTTTTATTTCATTTTACTCATAAGAAGGTTGTCTTCAAGACTTAACATATAGTTTTGTTAAAGAATGTTGAAGAATGATCACTTTTATTGGTTGTCTCGCTTTATATAGTTTTTTATAACGCAATCGCTTGGTTTTGGCTTTGTTTTAGGTTGATGAACTTTAAAAATGACGTAATCGGTTTTATGACGTAATCGCTTTTTACCCCTAATAAACCGGTTTTAGTTAAATCGATGTAAAATATTATTAAATAAAACATGACACGAAAACAAAATTTAAATTTTCTGAAACACAAAAAAATTTCCTGTGTTTGTCTTCCAATGACGTTATATCGAGAAACACCCGTTGTGGCGTGAAGTTAAGAGCAGTGTCTCTTGGATTTGAAAAAACAAACTAACCTGTTAATTTAATTAAATACTAAAGTCATTTTAAAATTAACATAGTTTTAATTTTTACGTATGACATACAGATCGGAAATTTTGTCCGTTAAATCAAGGTCCCTTAAATGGAAGTTTACAGTATTCAAATTGTACTGGAATCGAATTGTCGTTTTAGTTATGCGAGTTGCATCCCTCAGCTTCATTACCATAAAACTGTTTCTCAAACTGGAATCCGCAAAACAGTTACAGAAGACCTACTAAAATTTTAGTACCGTGTTTCCCCGAAAATAAGACAGTGTTCTATATTAATTTTTGCTCTGAAAAATGCGCTAGGTCTTATTTTCAGAAAATGTCTTATTTTTTCCAGGAAGAAGAATTCACATTTGTTATTAAACAAAAAAATTCCCAAGTCGAACTTAGACGAGAGTGACGTATATCCGGTGTGTCGAACTGTCGCCTTTTTACAGCGTCAACATCGGACTCGATGGCCAATTAGTGCTTACTGAACCGTAGCACTATGCAAATGTCATGTGGCGTGATTCCCGGCCGACCAATTAGCCACCATCAGCCGTAACGTTATGCAAATCTGTGATTCCCAAGCCATAGTCTTATGCAAATCATGCCGTGTGGCGTAATTGTCTGCTGACCAATCAGTGGCTGTACTTTCAAAAAGCCAACGGCCACT